CCGCCCAGCCTCGTGTTCATCGCATGTGCTTGTCCTTGGATAGGAAACGATGGAGACTAGAGATGTAGTTCAATGGTAGAGCATTTACCAACGTGTACAAGGACCTAGGTTTGATCTCCAGCACTGTAGAGAATAAAAGGCAAAGGAGAGGGTGGGAAAAGGGAAGGAGAAAGAAAAGGGGCAGGGAAGGGAAAGGGGGAGAAAAGAAAGAGCCAGGTGCAGCGGCACATACCTACAAATCCCAGCTCTTGGGAGGTGATGACAGAAAGAGCCCAAGTTCAAGGCCAGCCTTGGCTACACAGTGAGTGTAAAGTCAGTCTGAGGTACATGAGATCCTGTCACAAAGGAAAAAGAAAAGAACCCTTTCCCTCATGATTATATAATCCATGGAGCTCTGGAAGCATGACATGACACAGAATACGAGTCCAAAGGGCTTCGTTACCATCCCAGACCCTTGCCATCCTATCGTTAGGATTCTGTGGGAGACACAAATTTAGCAATACTACACACAGACCAGCCATAAGAGGAGGAAAAAGTCTTTTTCTACTGCTACTGGTTAAAAGCATCCTGAGTACCACATGTTATATGCCAGCCTATTCTTTCCTTCACCCATAAGGGTGAATTCAGCTCAGAGAGCAAACACCACCATCAATATATATTGAGAGTTGATTACATATGGCCCAGAACTAAGATAATATACTATATTTCAAAACACTGCCAAGACTCTGAGAACATTTTTTGGCACATTAAACAGCAGCATGCCCATAAATCATGTAAAGGGAGAGTTTTCTTAGTATATTTCAGAGAAAATATAATAAAACTAGCTAGAAGAGAATTTAGTGCTTCACAGTGTTCACATGGTAAAGTTTCAGTTTAATTGATTGTGACTTTTGACATTTTATTTAACATATCTCAGAAACATCACCTAAAGAATAATTTTAATATTGCTTCCAAATTCAATTAGAGCAGTTACGTTTTTATGACAGGAGAACACTTACAGGGCCATTCATTAATACACAAGTTATTAAATCCCACAGTCCTTTAATCCGCATCGCAGACTAAACTAATACATTTAAGCTGCCCTGGAGAAACCATCCTTTAGCTGGAGCAAACACTCTGATAGCTTTCTTTTCACTTTAGCTTTTTTGACCTAAGAAGTCATTTTTTTCTTCTTGACATCTTAAGAGTCATCTTTAATAATGTTTCCCTGTAGCTTTGATGTCCCTCAACTTCCAGACTGCCTTGGCAGATCAGTTCTTCTCCCTCAGAAACACTCATCAACTAAGCATCTGAGGACTTTAAGGCTCAATTCTAGCTCACAGCCTGGAAGACATAAAGAGACAAAAACCCACAAATCCAGAGGAAAATGGAAGTTGTCTGTGTGTTCCAAGTTGCTCTGATGGGGAAGACCTCTGGTTAGGGTTGGGAGGAGCACTAGGATACGGACAAATAGAGAGAGATGAAGCAGTGTAGTTAAGTGGTTAGGGGCAAGGACCTGTGACTACACAGCTCAGGCTCAAATCTGCCTCTGCCTCTCCCCATAAGAACTCACCTGGCTTGAGTTCTCTACTTCACTTTTTTCTTTTTCTTTTTTTTTGTCTTTTTGAGACAGGGTCTCCCTGTAGCCCCAGCTGGCCTGGAGCTCGCTATATAGACCAGGCTGGCCTCAAACTCACAGAGCTCTTCCTGCCTCTGCCTCCTAAGTACTAGGATTAAAGGTGTGGGCCACCATATCCAGCTAGAATTTTTTATTAATTTTTAAAATTTATTTTTATATTATATGTATGAGTGGTTTTTAAAAATACTTTATTTCTTTTTATTTTATGTGTATGAGTTATTGCCTGCATGTATGTAAGTGTACCTGTGTTGTACAATGCCCACAGAGATCAGAAGGGAGCATCAGATCCCCTGGATCTGGAGTTATGGATGTTGTTAGCCACTATGTGGGTACTGGGAACCATATCCAGGTCCTCTGCAGGAGCAGCCGGTGCTTTTAACTGCTGAACCATCTCTCCAGCCCCCATGTGTATGAGTGTTTTGCCTGCTTGTATGTAAGTGCTCTTTGTGTGTGTGTATGTGTGCGTGCGTGTGTGTGTGTGTGTGTGGTGAGACAGGGTCTCCCTGTAGCCACAGCTGGCCTGGATTCACTGTGGAGACCAGGCTGGCCTTGAACTCACAGAGATCCGCTACCTCTGCCTTTCCAGTGGTGGGATTAAAGGTGTGCACCACCATGTACATATGTAAGTGCTCTTAACCACTGAACCATCTCTCTCTAATCCCCCAAACTCTAATATTTAACAATGCACTCAGAAATTTTTATTAATACCTGTAGTCTTGAGGCTAAGGATGTAGCTCGGTTGGTAAGAGTACTTCCTAACTTGCACAAAGCCCTAGGCTTGGTTTCTAATATCCGGTATGGTAGTACACACCTATAATTCCAGCACTCAGAAGATAGAGGCAAGGTCATTCTCAGCTTCACAGAGAAAAGGAGGACAACCTGGACTACATGAGACCCTATTTCAAATATAAAAAAAACAAAACACCCCACTATAGTCTTCATTCACTTATTTCTACAGATCCCATATTTTGTCTCCCCCCTTATTTTATGTTATTGGCTTAATATTTCCACAGATCCAGACTAATTGGTAAAGCAAGAGTCAACATGTCCTAAATTAGCTCCAGAGCCTTAAATATTTTTCAGAACAAGGTCAGATGTAAATTAACAATGACAGCAGCCCCAAGAGAATTAGACCCGCTTATGCGGTGACATTAGTAAGGCTGAATGATTTGATGTCAAGACAGGATGGTCCCAATTTAGAACAACAAAACATTTCGACAGAGGCTCATGTTTTTAATGTGGAAAAAAATGCCTATAAATGACCTCGAGCTTCACAGAAATCTAATTAGCATAGTTGAGCAGAAACCAACAACTCTCTGAGATGGATGTTATACCTGTCTCATAGCAAGGAAAACTGAATGGAAAAAATTAGTTAAGGGACTGGGGAGATGCTCAGTCAGTAAAATGCTTGCCCTGTAACTGGAGTATGATCCCTAGTATTCATGTTAAAGCCAGGTATGATGCTGTGTACATATAATCCTAGTGCTGGGGAAGCAGAGATGAGCAGATCTCTAGAGCTCAATGAGAGACCCTGTCTCAAAGAATAAGGTGGAGGACCGAGGAGATGGCTCAGTTGGTAAAGTACTCGTCTTGCAAGAACAAGGATCTGAGTTCAATCCCTAAAACTCATGTTTTAAAAAATGTGAGGCATGGTGGTGCTCACTTGTAACCCTAGCACTGCTGTGAGGCAGGGATGAGAGGATCCTTGGGGTTCTCAGGAGATCCTGTCTAAAAGGAGGTGGACATTGTTTCTGAGGATGACACCCAAAGTTGTCCTCTGACCTCCACACCCACATCATACATACATTTACATTGAAAAAAATGTTTTTAAATAGATTGGAGACTGAGGAATGTATCTGACATTGATCTCTGGCCTCCACATGCCTGGGCACACATGTATATACACATGCAACCCCCCCACACACACACACACATACACACACTTGAACAGTTAAGAAGAGTGGGAATGGACATTGCATGTTCACACTAGCTGCATCAGAAAATTCAGTGACAAAACAGAGCTGAGCTTTAAAAAAGTTAAGATCTGTTTTCAAGCTGGAAAAATGTCTCAGTGGTTAAGGGCACTTACTGCTCTTCCAGAGGACCAGAGTTCAGTTCCCAGCACTCAGGTCAGGCAGGTCACAACCACCTGCAACTCCAGTTCCAAGGGCACCCATACATATATGTGCCATACATTCATACCACATATACATATGTATAAAAATAAATCTTAAAAAAAAAAACAGTTTTCCAAGTACAAAAGCTACAAAATAGGCTGTAGGTTCACCTCAGCCAACAGAGTGCTTGCCTAGCATGCAGGAGCTCTGGGTTCAATCCCCAGCACTACCTGTGACTCAGTATGGTGTATGCACCTATAATCTCAGCACTGGGGGGGTAGAGGCAGCAGGATCAGAAGGTCAAGATCATCCTCTGCTATATAGTGAGTTTGAGGCCAGTCTGGGATACATGAAATCTTCTCTTACAAAGAAAAAGGAAAGGCAGGAAAGAATCACAATGTGAAATGCCAAGTGATCCAGGCCCTAACACTACCAAACACAAGCTGTTAGTCCTTCAGTGAGAACTCAGGGTCTGCTCCCAGTTGGGTGTTAGATAGATGGACAGATGCATTTTTATAGTCTTGGAAATCAATAAGCCTACAGACCATAAACATTTCCCAAAGAATATTATAATTAAACTGGAACCATGCCCCTAAGTGACAATTCATATTGTTGTAGTTCCAAATATGAGTGAGAAACTTATTCTAAAACTATTCACCCAGCATTGAGCAGGGTGTGGTAGCTCATGCCTTTAATGCTAGCACTTCAGAAGCTGAAGCTGAGTCCAGCCTGATCTACACAGCAAGTTCCAGGCCAGCTGTGGCTATGGAGAGATGCTGTCCAAAACAAAACAAAACAAAACAAAAAAGGCAGCCCTGTCTTAAAACTCTTTGCCCCATCAGAATGAGAAGGAAATCTATGCCTTTTGTTGTCACTGTGAAATTCCATCTCCTGGCATTCTGAAGAACAGTTAAGGAAAAAATTCTTCATCTAGAGATGTTTTGGCTGTGAAACTTCCTTACAAAATTGGCTGCAAGTCCAATTTCTGTCCCAAATGGGCTTCTTATTAACATGGATCAAGGCACGCTCCTTACCCTCCTACAATGCCCTGTAAGCACAACATCAGAAAGCAGCAGATGCTCTTGCTCCCACCTTGGCCCAGTGCAAAGCCATTCGTAGTACAAACCAGAGACTCCAAAGCCACGCCTGCAATCCCAACACTGTCTGAGACAGGAGGATTACAGTGAGTTCAAGGCTGGCCTGAGCTACATAGTAAGTTCAAATCTCAATTACAGAGTAAGACCTTGTCTCAAAAACAAAATGAATTGGCTCTGAATCAAGGCCAACAGTTTGTTGAAGCTGTTGGTTTCAAGCCTAAAGAAATGTCTTTCCATGGTCTGTTAGCCATTTCAGAAATTTGGAAATGTAATGGTCTATTCATTAGAAAGAAACATGTGGCTGGGGAAAAAAACAAACAACAAAACAAAAACAAAAACAAAACACGAAATAGGGAGCTGGAGAGATGGCTTAGCAGTTAAAAGCACTGACTGCGCTTGCAAAGGACCCAGGTTCAATGCTCAGTACCTACATGGCAGCTAACAAGTGTTCATAACTCCAGTTCCAAGGGAATCCAATACCCTCTTCCGTGGGTACTGCACAGCATGGTTGCACTTACATATATGCAGGCAATACACTCATACACATAAAATAAAAATAAAAATTTAAATGTTTTTTAAAAATAAATAGAAAGTAGGGGTTAGGATGTAGCCCTGTTGGTAGAGTATTTGCCTAGCACGCATGAAGCCCTAGGTTCAGTCCCCAGCAGTGCATAAACTAGACATGGCAGCGCATGCCAGAAGTCCCAGCACTTGGGAGGCTGAAGCCAGAGGACAGCAGTGAGTTCAAGGGCAGCTTATAAAATTCTGAGTTTATGATGGCACTCACCTTTAATCCCAGCACTTGGGAGGCAGAGGAAGGCAGATCTCTGTGAGTTCAGACAACCCTGGTTTACATAGCGAGTTCCAGGCCAGCTGAGGCTACTGTCTCAAAAAGACAACAACAACAAAAAAAAATCTGCCTGGGCTGGGGGAAGTTAGAGACAGGAAACAGAGTCAGAGACAGAGCGACAGAGACAGAGAAAGAAAGAGATTCGAAATAGAAAGCAAAGACTAGAGATGTGGCTCAGTTCAAAGAGTGCTAGCCTAGCATGTACAATACCCTGGGTTCCATCCCTAGCAGTACATAAACTGGATGTGTTGGCTCACATCTATAATCCCAACATTGTAGAGGTGGAGGCAGGAGGATCAGGAGTTTAAGACCATTCTCGGCTACCTAGCAAGTTCAAGGCCGGACTGGGATACGTGAGACCCTGCCTAAAAAAGACAAATATTACAGCAATAGACAATAGATTCTACATGAAATTCCTCCAACGGTCAAACACAAGCTGGGTGACCACTAGGGTGATCAGATTAGAAACTCAGTATCCTGGGACTAGGAGACCAGAAAAGCGACAGCCAGATCCACAGTACATGATCTCTGACCCCAGGAAGACTCGCCCTCTTACACAGCTAAATTTCTAATCCACAAAACAAGGCAATTAGATCACTCAATTTTTTTTAAAGTTCTTTCCAGCTACAGAAATCTTGATTTTGAGAATAATCAAAGTACAAAGCAGTAATTTTCAAATCCAGGTCTTGTTTGCAATAATTCTTAATTTAGAGGGCTCCGGAAGTCTTTTTCCTGAAAAGATTAGCAAAGCACCAAATGGTTTACTGTTTCTCTTCAAATACCTTATTTCATTGCATGAAACATCATGGAAACGCCAAGTCAGAGGCATGTGGAGTCCACTTTGTTTTAAGGGATCACAATCACAGAGGTTTAAAAAGACCAAAAACCAGGCTGGAGGGATGGCCCTGTGGTTAAGAGCACCGGCTGCTCTTGTAGACCTGGGTTCGGTTCCCAGCACCCACATGGTGGTTAACAATCATTCACAACTCCAACTCCAGGGGATCCGACGCCTTCTTCTGACCTCTGTGGGTATCATACAACACGGGTACATTTACATACATGCAGGCAATATACACATACACATAAAAAATAAAATTAATAAATAAAATATTTTTAAATCTGGAATAAAATATAGTGTTCGCATGATGAAGCCAAGTTTCCTTTCATTTACAGCCCTTCTTCCAAGATACTTTGTGTTAAAAATGACTACACATTTAACAAAGAATGACAACAAACAAAAGCTAAGTCACACTCTGTGTGGTAGATAGGGAGGTCATTCTACCCTTGAAATGTCACAAAACACAAATCAATTTGTTTCTGATATACATGCAAGTAATCCCAGTAGCTCAATGAAGCAAAATTGGAAACTTCTCCATTTCTCTAACCCTAGCTCATGACCCTGATGATTCTCTGCTCTGCACATCTCAGAACATTCTTTAGCCTTTCGCATATATCTGCTTTGAATTCTTGTGCTGGTCTCAGTTCTCAACCACCCTGTCATCCGCAGGAAAGGAAGGAACCAAATTGTGTCCCTCTTCTATCTACTTAATTCCCAAAGGACACAGACTCTGAAGACACCTAATATATAACTTTATTTCCTTTAATTTTGTCACCTTGATTCTTATTACACAGGGAATATATTTAGCAGGGACCAAGGACTGCTGGGCAGAACTCATTTCCTCTCTCTTCCATAGTCCAGCACTGCAGCTGGTCACATAGATAACATAACCTACCTTGCAGATGGCTGTGGCCCACATTACAGGGGACTGTGTCCCTGACAAGAGATGAGAGCAGGACTGACATGGGCAACTTTGGGATCAGGGCTTGAGATGGTAACTATGCCACCAGATCCTCCTCTCTGTGACAGTCTTGGCCATTTAGCCCAGCACTGATATTTAGAAGGTGATGAGGCCCAAGGGAGTGGAGAGGCTGGAGGGAATCTGGGTCCATTAAATCCAAATGGAGCAGAGTCACCCGCCCTTCTGGAATACCTACTTCACACTGTTCAAGGAGGGGAATTCCCTTCTGTAAATGACAACACTGTTGAATGTCTTATTTTAGTAGCTTGACCTTTTAGGATGACTAATACATGCATATTTATCATGAAGATACTGAGAGAATATATAAAGAGAAGAAAATCACCCTGATCCTCCTCTTAACTAGCCACTATTAATACTTTGGAGTAGTTCCTTGGAGATGTTTCTCTATGCCAAAAAAGTGCACATATTTGTCTACAGAAATGAAACCACACTGCCTTACAGTTATTCTCACTTACATTATCTTCTATTTAATATGGTGATTTTTTTTCAAATAAAAAATACATTGTATATCATTTTAATGGCTATCTAATACTTCACTGCTTGGATCTACCAGAATAGACTTAAGTAAATCTTTCATTGTTGACCTTTAGGTTTTGTTTTGTTTTTAATTTGACCACACGACTGGCAAGGAGGCTCAGTGGATAAAGGCCCCTGCCATCAGGCATGATGACACCTACAAATTGTCCTCTGACCTCCACACCCACTGTGGCATGAGGGTGGACACACACACACACACAATCGATCAATCAGTCAAATTTAAAGATGTGAAATTCAATCATAAACAGCACAAAGAAATATTATTTTAGTCACCTCACACATTATGCATTTTTTCCCTTCGTCTACATTTCTATTCTATCTACATCTTTCTGGAGGGTATCTTTGTTGTTGTTTTGTTTTTTGAAACAGGGTCTCATGTAAGCCAGGTTGTCCTCAAACTCCTGATCCTCTTGCTCCCAGCTTCTAAGTGCTAGAATCACAGGTATGCACCACCGCAGCTAGCAAGAATCTGTTTTTAATATATCCCTGCAAACAAAGATGCCCCCTGTTCCTGGGGGGACAGAAAGTCATCATGAGGCGACTGAGAGGCACCTGCGAGGCAGCATTCACTGGTTGCTTCTAGAAGAATCCTCATTTATGTTTAATCAGCTGCAGACAACCTGGAAACCAAACTAGGATGAATGGCTGACTCCCTGAGCCATCAACCTCCCAGGCTACAGTGTAGCCCTAGCTATTAACATGCACAAAAGGCTTGGATGTGGGGGACCTTGTTGCCTGCTGACAAACCTTGATCTACATCTGTGTTGCCAATTACTTGCTCAACAAACCTGTTACTTTTTTGGAAATAATAAATAATTCAGGGAAAATCGTTTTGAATCCTCTGACATCTGTTGCTTGTACAACTCTGAATTATTCATCAGTGAGCATACACAGTATTAATTAAAGAAAAGTACTGAGGCAAGCCATTGAAACAGAAATGAACAGTGTGGAAGAAAATGCCTTCACTCAGGGCTCACGTCACTGACAAACATCCCAAGGAACAGGCCAGTCCTTGGGATCTAAAGGAACTGTACTTTTGGAAACCAGGCAGGAAAGAATGAAGAGTATTATTTGGTGTTTCCAAATTTAGTTTTTCCTTCTCCCCTTCAGAAAAAATGATCATCTTTGATTTGATCTCTTTCCACACTCTGCTTATCTGCTTTTGGTTCAGGAGAGCATGGCTGTATCCCGAGAAAAAGAAAATCTTCTAATAGAGAGTCCAAAAAACAAAAAAAGAAAAAAAATGACAAGAGAGGTTGGAGAGATAGCTCACGCAGTGAAGATGTCCCTTGCAAGCATGAGGACCTGAGTTCAGTCCCCAGAACCCAAGAAAAACACAGCATGGTTTTATATATTTGAAATCCCAGAGCTGGCTCTCCAGCTGGCCAGTCCAGCCTAAGAGACCATCTCCAATAAGAGACTCTGTCTCAAAAAGACAAGGTGGGGCTGGTAAGATGGCTCAGTGTGTAAAAGTACTTGCTTTGTAAACCTGGCAACCTGAGTGTGATCCCCCAGAACCGATGGTGGAAGGCAAGAATCAACTTCTGAAAGCTGTCCTCTGACCTACACACACACACACACACACACACACACACACACACACACACCATATACATATACACACAATAATAATACATAAAATAAAAATTAGAAAAAAAGGAGGAAGCTGGAGAGACAGCTTAGCAGTTAAGAGCACTGTTCCTAGAATACATGTGGTGGCTAACAACCATTTAAAACTCCAGTTCCAGGGGATCAGATGCCCTCTTCTGCTCTCCATGGGCATTGCACACACAGGTGACACACACACACACACACACACACACACACACCATATACATATACACACAATAATAATACATAAAATAAAAATTAGAAAAAAAGGAGGAAGCTGGAGAGACAGCTTAGCAGTTAAGAGCACTGTTCCTAGTATACATGTGGTGGCTAACAACCATTTAAAACTCCAGTTCCAGGGGATCAGATGCCCTCTTCTGCTCTCCATGGGCATTGCACACACAGGTGTACTTATATACATGCAGGCAAAACACTCATACAGATAAAATAAGAATAAATTTTAAAAAGTTAAAGCCAAGGA